CAAACATGGATTGAGGTGGTTGGTACAGGCCTCCCTAAGTTAACACATTGTATGCCGGAAACGTGTTTACACGTTTTACGTATTTATACGTTCCACCAGTGTAGTAGAGCGCGGGACACGTATTAATACGTTTTTTATAGACTAGCGGTAGAATGCGGGTAACGTATAAATACATAAACTAAAGTTATCGTAATTTTAGTGAATGTTGACATTTACACAAAAAATTAGCAAAAATGGCCGGCGCCACCTGTTAGCGCGCGATAAAAACTACCCGCAAACAATGTGTTAAAAATGAAGCCCTGTGCGCAGGCTGGTGTGACTCAGTGGTTCAGCATCGACCAATGAACCAGGAGGTCAGGGTTTAATTCGCAGTTAGGGCACATGCCCAGGTTGCAGTCTTGCTTGCGAGTAGTGGGCGTGCAGGAGGCATACAATCAATAAGTCTCTCTCATCATTGATGTGTATCTCTCTCTCTCTCCGTCTCTCATCCTCTCTGAAAATAAAAAGAAAATATATTTTAAAAGAGGCAACTGACTCCAAGAAAATGCTCTCTGATGCTGAAAACAGGGAGGTCCTGCATGAGTGTGACAAGGGAAGCTGTCCCTCACTCCTGTGCCTAGGGTATGGAACGTGCTGGACCTCAGTTACCGATGAGAACGACGACGGGTGTAGTTCTCACTCATTTTGTTCAGCTTTTCCAAGGAATGTTGGTTTGGTTTTTTTTTGGAGGGAGTCATCATCGATCCCAGCACGTTCAGGACACAGGGCCTTAGGTCAGACACATGGTTCCAATTGGCTGACCTGGGGACAGAGAAAGGCTCACCTTCCTGAGCGCCCCGGGGGAATGAGGCAGAACCGGGGCAACACTTCTTCCAGGGCCCGCCCACGTCCGACCCCCAGGTAGAGAGCAAGGTGGTCCCGTCCAGGCAGATGACAGGCCTTCATGATGACGCCACCTGTGGAGTGAAGGGAAACCACATGCACATTTGAGAAACTCATTCAGATTCTCAGGACACATGATCCACACCACCCTTTACCCAGGTACAGCCTGCACCTGTCCCTCATCCCTCTATCCCTTAGAGGTGAGATGGGCATCAGTGACACCATGAGGTGGGCAGGTAGGCAGCTGGGCGCCTTCATGAGTGTGACAAGGGAAGCTGTCCCTCACTCCTGTCCCTGGGGCTCTGAACGTGCTGGACCTCAGTTACCGATGAGAACGACGACGGTTGTAGTTCTCACTCATTTTGTTCAGCTCCAAGGAATGTTGGTTTGGTTTTTTTGGGGGAATCATCATCGATCTCAGCACGTTCTAAAAAATGGAGCTGCTGGAAGGTGGCTCATGGGATGAGGCAATGACCTCAGAGTCCGCCAGGGCCTGCAGGACCAGGTCCCACCACTGAGCGAGGAACACTCAGTCCATGTCGGAGGGAAACCCCGTGTGCCATTGGGACACCCAAACAAGCCGCCTCCAGCAGCTCCAAACCCACAAGCTAATGGCTGAGCGAGGAGCAGAGCATCGCTTACCTTCCTGGGGGATCCCGGCTCCGTGCCCGCTCAGGCACCCTTCCTCGGTGACTCCCGGGGACTCAGGACATCCAGGCAGACTACGGGCTCTCGTCTTGTCCGATGCAGGCTCTGGCGCTGGGGCTGCACCTGAGAAGTGGACACAAATCACAGGGGTTTTGAGTCATGTGCCCAGGTCGTCAGGTAAAATCCCTGCACTCCTCTTCCTTTTCGTGGGCCTTCATCTGATTGTTCCCTAGGCCTGTCCCTGAGTCATGAGTGAGGGCAGGTGTGACTTCCTGTGTGCAGGCGGGTTGCAAATACGGATGTACGTGGTGGATACAGGCCTCCACATGTGAAAACTGAAGCCCTGTGGGCAGGCTGGTGTGGCTGAGTGGTTCAGCATTGACCAATGAACCAGGAGGTCAGGGTTCAATTCCCAGTTAGGGCACATGCCCTGGTTGCAGTCTTGTTTGCGAGTAGTGGGCGTGCAGGAGGCAGACAATCAATAAGTCGCTCTCGCCCTAGCAGGTTTGGCTCACTGGATAGAGCGTCAGCCTGGGGACAGAAGAGTCCCGGGTTCGATTCCGGACAAGGGCATGTACCTTGGTTGCAGGCACATCCCCAGAAGGGGGTGTGCAGGAGGCAGCTGATCGATGCTTCTCTCTCATTGATGTTTCTAACTCTCTATCCCTCTCCCTTCCTCTCTATAAAATATCAATAAAATATATTTAAAAAAAATAAGTCTCTCATCATTGATGTGTATCTCTCTCTCCCTCTCCTATCCTCTCTGACAATAAAGAGAAAATATATTTTAAAAAGAGGCACCTAACTCTAAGAAAATGCTCTCTGATGCTGAAAACTTGGAGGGTCTGCATGAGTGTAACAAGGGAAGCTGTCCCTCAGTGCTGTTCCTAGGATACAGAAGGTGCTGGACCTCAGTTACCGATGAGAACGACGACGGGTGTAGTTCTCACTCATTTTGTTCAGCTTTTCCAAGGAATGTTGGTTTGGGTTTTTTTTGGAGGGAGTCATCATCGATCCCAGCACGTTCTGGACATAGGGCCTTAGGTCAGACACACGGTTCCAAATGACTGACCTGGGGACAGAGAAAGGCTTACCTTACTGAGTGACCCGGGGGCATGAGGCAGACCCGGGGCAACACTTCTTCCAGGACCCGCCCACGTCCGACCCCCAGGTAGAGAGCAAGGTGGTCCCGTCCAGGCAGATGACAGGCCTTTCATGATGACGCCACCTGTGGAGTGAAGGGAAACCACATGCACATTTGAGAAACTCATTCAGATTCTCAGGACACATGATCCACATCACCTTTCCCCAGTACAGCCTGCACCTGTCCCTCATCCCTCTATCCCTTAGAGGTGAGATGGGCGTCAGTGACACCATGAGGTGGGCACTTAGGCAGCTGGGCGCCTTCATGAGTGTGACAAGGGAAGCTGTCCCTCACTCCTGTCCCTGGGGCTCTGAACGTGCTGGACCTCAGTTACCGATGAGAACGACGACGGTTGTAGTTCTCACTCATTTTGTTCAGCTCCAAGGAATGTTGGTTTGGTTTTTTTGGGGGAATCATCATCGATCTCAGCACGTTCTAAAAAATGGAGCTGCTGGAAGGTGGCTCATGGGATGAGGCAATGACCTCGGAGTCCTCCTGGGCCTGCAGGACCAGGTCCCACCACTGAGCAAGGAACACTCACTCCATGTCGGAGGGAAACCCCGTGTGCCATCGGGACACCCAAACAAGCCGCCTCCAGCAGCTCCAAACCCACAAGCTAATGGCTGAGCGAGGAGCAGAGCATCGCTTACCTTCCTGGTGATCCCAGCTCCGCGCCCACTCAGGCACCCTTCCTCGGTGACTCCCGGGGACTCAGGATATCCAGGCAGACTACGGGCTCTCGTCTTGTCTGTTGCAGGCTCTGGCGCTGGGGCTGCACCTGAGAAGTGGACACAAATCACAGGGGCGTTTGAGTCATGTGCCCAGGTCCTCAGGTAAAATCCCTGCCCTCCTCTTCCTTTTCGTGGGCCTTCATCTGGTTGTTCCCTAGGCCTGTCCCTGAGGCATGAGTGAGGGCAGGTGTGACTTCCTGTGTGCAGGCGGGTTGCAAATATGGATGTACGTGGTGGATACAGGCCTCCACATGTGAAAACTGAAGCCCTGTGGGCAGGCTGGTGGGGCTCAGTGGTTCAGCATTGACCAATGAACCAGGAGGTCAGGGTTCAATTCCTAGTTAGGGCACATGCCCAGGTTGCAGTCTTGTTTGCGAGTAGTGGGCGTGCAGGAGGCAGACAATCAATAAGTCGCTCTCGCCCTAGCAGGTTTGGCTCACTGGATAGAGCGTCAGCCTGGGGACAGAAGAGTCCCAGGTTCGATTCCGGACAAGGGCATGTACCTTGGTTGCAGGCACATCCCCAGAAGGGGGTGTGCAGGAGGCAGCTGATCGATGCTTCTCTCTCATTGATGTTTCTAACTCTCTATCCCTCTCCCTTCCTCTCTATAAAATATCAATAAAATATATTTTTAAAAAAATAAGTCTCTCATCATTGATGTGTATCTCTCTCTCTCTCCCTCTCCTATCCTCTCTGAAAATAAAAAGGAAATATATTTTAAAAAGAGGCACCTAACTCTAATAAAATGCGCTCTGATGCTGAAAACTGGGAGGGTCTGCATGAGTGTGACAAGGGAAGCTGTCCCTCACTCCTGTGCCTAGGGTACAGAAGGTGCTGGACCTCAGTTACCGATGAGAACGACGACGGGTGTAGTTCTCACTCATTTTGTTCAGCTTTTCCAAGGAATGTTGGTTTGGTTTTTTTATGGAGGGAGTCATCATCGATCCCAGCACGTTCTGGACACAGGGCCTTAGCTCAGACAAAGGGTTACAAACGGCTGACCTTGGGACAGAGAAAGGCTTACCTTACTGAGCACCCCGGGGGAATGAGGCAGACCCGGGGCAACACTTCTTCCAGGACCTGCCCACGTCCGACCACCAGGTAGAGAGCAAGGTGGTCCCGCCCAGGCAGATGACAGGCCTTTCATGATGACGCCACCTGTGGAGTGAAGGGAAACCACATGCACATTTGAGAAACTCATTCAGATTCTCAGGACACATGATCCACACCACCTTTCCCCAGTACAGCCTGCACCTGTCCCTCATCCCTCTATCCCCTAGAGGTGAAATGGGCGTCAGTGACACCATGAGGTGGGCAGGTAGGCAGCTGGGCGCCTTCATGAGTGTGACAAGGGAAGCTGTCCCTCACTCCTGTCCCTGGGGCTCTGAACGTGGTGGACCTCAGTTACCGATGAGAACGACGACGGTTGTAGTTCTCACTCATTTTGTTCAGCTCCAAGGAATGTTGGTTTGGTTTTTTTGGGGGAATCATCATCGATCTCAGCACGTTCTAAAAAATGGAGCTGCTGGAAGGTGGCTCATGGGATGAGGCGATGACCTCAGAGTCCGCCAGGGCCTGCAGTAGCCGGTCCCACCACTGAGCGAGGAACACTCAGTCCATGTCGGAGGGAAACCCCGTGTGCCATCGGGACACCCAAACAAGCCGCCTCCAGCAGCTCCAAACCCACAAGCTAATGGCTGAGCGAGGAGCAGAGCATCGCTTACCTTCCTGGGGATCCCGGCTCCGGGCCCGCTCAGGCACCCTTCCTCGGTGACTCCCAGGGACTCAGGCCATCCAGGCAGACTACGGGCTCTCGTCTTGGCCAATGCAGGCTCTGGCGCTGGGGTTGCACCTGAGATGTGGACACAAATCACAGGGGCATTTGAGTCATGTGCCCAGGGCCTCAGAAATGAACCCACCTCATTGCCCCCTTCTTACGGGGCCTGTGCATCCCTCACATTTTTCTCTCCCTGAGAAATGAGTGGCGGCTGTGACGCCATGTGTGCAGGTCGGACAGCTGATAGGTTGCAAGTTTTGTGGGCAGCGACCTCCTCAAGTGAAACAAAAAAATGACTGTTTGTTCAAGAAGCAAAAAAACACACAAATTCTTTTTTCATGCGTCTGCTGAAAGAGGCCAGTAAGTCCTAACAACAAGCACCCGCGTTCTACGAACATGCCCCTAAGAAGCCTAGATGGCCCTCAACTTGGACATTTTGTCCCTGAAAACGGTCACCGGTCAAATACACGTACAGGAAAGAAGTGGAAGCAGAAACTAATCACCCACACAGAGACGGGCACCATGAGCACACGGGCTACATGTATGCAGCCTCCCGTAAGGAGACCAGCCGCATCGGGCCAGGCACACTTTCGTGCAAATCAAGCCAGTGCCCCTCAGGGGACAAAGGGAGAGCAGCCGCTGTCTGTGGTCCTCATCGGCTATCTCCGTAACACTGCCCCGTGGGCAAGGCCACATTCTCATCTGGAAACCACACGTTCCCAGGCGTAGAACTCAGGCTCCGACCTGCCAGGAAACCTTGAAGCACCTACAGGGTCTTTCAGAAGTAGCATCCTCAGCAAGGCTCCTTTGGCTCAGGGGTGGAGCCTTGACCCAAGAACCAGAAGGTCATCATGGTTCGATTCCCGGTCAGGGCACATGCCCGGGGTTGCTGGCTTCATCCCCAGTAGAGGGCATGCAAGTGGCAGCCAACCAATACATGTTTCTGCCTTATCACTGATATTTCTACCTGTCTCCCATCCTCTCTGAAATCAATCCGATATAATAAAAGCCTAAGAATATGCTAAGTGTCCAGTCATCGGGTCATCAGTTCAACCAATCAAATCATAATATGCTCATAATATGTTAATGCTGCTCAACCACTCGCTATGATGTGCACTGACCACCAGGGGGCAGACATTCAACAAATGAGCTGCCCCCTGGTGGTCAGTGCACTCCCACAGGGTGAGTGATGGTCAGCCTGAGGCCAGGCTCATGGCTGGTGAGCGCAGCAGCGGTGGTGAGAGCCTTTCCCGCCTTTGCAGCAGCACTAAGGATGTCCATTGCAGGTTTAGGGATTGGGCCTAAGCCTTCAGTGGAACATCCCCTGAGGGCTCCCAGACTGTGAGAGAGTGCAGGCTGGGATGAGGGATACCACGCCGAGTGCACGAATTTAGTGCACCAGCCTCTAGTAAATATATATTTTAAAAAACGAAATAAAATCCATGGGAAGCAGAAGGCCTCCCTCAAAGCAAACAGAGACAGTACGTGGCATGGAAGGACATGGAGTCCACCTCAACCTGCCCTCCTCTCTCATCCCTGTCCTCGCCATCAACCACCAGCAGCATCACCTCAGAGCTGGGAGCCCAGCAGACCAATGCATGTGGACGAGGGCGAGGGTTACGCGTAGGATGTCACAACTGCAGCACCAAGGCCAGCTATCAGCAACGTACCCCCAAAACACCTCAGGGAACTCACTGATCCTCACCAAGTCCATAGGCCAGAACAGCTATCGCTACCAGAGGGAAATGGCGCCTAATTAGGAGCCATTCAAGTTTTGTCCTTTGGTACCCAGGTCAGAGCTGCAGGGGCTACCACGGCAGAGGAAACAAGGCCAACTGAGATCCAAAAAATGATTCCCTGGGGCAAGGCCCCGGCCTCACCCTCCAAACTTCTACAGAGGAGGTGCCCAATGGCCAACGTACCTACACAGAACACACATACCAACCAGAACCGTTCCTTCAGGGCCTCCCAACCTGGTGGAGGGGCCTGTGACCCTCAGATAGAACAGGCTGAGAAGGGACGCCCTGGTCGGTGCCTGATGAGTGTGACAAGGGAAGCTGTCCCTCACTCCTGTCCCTGGGGCTCGGAACGTGCTGGACCTCAGTTACCGATGAGAACGACGACGGTTGTAGTTCTCACTCATTTTGTTCAGCTCCAAGGAATGTTGGTTTGGTTTTTTTGGGGGAATCATCATCGATCCCAGCACGTTCTGAAAAATGGAGCTACCGGATTTATGGCTCATGGGGTGAGGCAATGACCTCAGAGACCTCCTGGGCCTGCAGGACCAGGTCCCACCACTGAGCGAGGAACACTCAGTCCATGTCGGAGGGAAACCCCGTGTGCCATCGGGACACCCAAACAAGCCGCCTCCAGCAGCTCCAAACCCACAAGCTAATGGCTGAGCGAGGAGCAGAGCGTCGCTTACCTTCCTGGGGATCCCAGCTCCGCGCCCACTCAGGCACCCTTCTTCGGGGACTCCGTGGGGCTCGGGCCATCCAGGCAGACAACGGGCTTCTCGTCTTGGCCGATGCAGACCCTGGCGTTGGGGCTGCACCTGAGAAGTGGACACAAATCACAGGGGCGTTTGAGTCATGTGCCCAGGTCGTCAGGTAAAATCGCTGCCCTACTCTTCCCTTTCGTGGGCCTTCATCTGACTGTGCCTACGCCTGTCCCTGAGGCACGAGTGAGGGCAGGTGTGACTTCCTGTGTGCAGGCGGGTTGCACATATGGATGCAGGTGGTGGGTAAGGGCTTCCCCATGTTTAAAATGAAGCCTGTGGACAGGCTGGTGTGGCCCAGTGGTTCAGCATCGACCAATGAACCAGGAGGTTAAGGTTCAATTCCCAGTTAGGGCACAAGCCCAGGTTTCAGTCTTGTTTGCCAGTACAGGGCATGCAGGAGGCATACAATCAATAAGTCTCTCTCATCATTGATGTTTATCTCTCTCTCTCTCCCTCTCCCATCCTCTCTGAAAATAAAAAGAATATGTATTTTAAAAAGAGGCACCTAACTCTAAGAAAATGCTCTCTGATGATGAAAACTGGGAGGGCCTGCATGAGTGTGACAAGGGAAGCTGTCCCTCACTCCTGTGCCTAGGGTATGGAACGTGCTGGACCTCAGTTACCGATGAGAACGACGACGGGTGTAGTTCTCACTCATTTTGTTCAGCTTTTCCAAGGAATGTTGGTTTGGGTTTTTTTTGGAGGGAGTCATCATCGATCCCAGCACGTTCAGGACACAGGGCCTTAGGTCAGACACACGGTTCCAATTGGCTGACCTTGGGACAGAGGAAGGCTTACCTTCCTGAGCGCTCCGGGGGCATGAGGCAGACCCGGGGCTACACTTCTTCCAGGACCCGCCCACGTCCGACCCCCAGGTAGAGAGCAAGGTGGTCCCATCCAGGCAGATGACAGGCCTTTCATGATGACGTCACCTGGGGAATGAAGGGAAAGCACATGCACATTTGAGAAACTCATTCAGCTTCTCAGGTCACATGATCCACACCACCCTTTACCCAAGTACAGCCTGCACCTGTCCTTCATCCCTCTATTCCATAGGGTGATGATGGGCGTGTGTGACACCATGAGGTGAGCAGGTAAGCAGCTGGGCTGATGCGCTGGGAGGTGCCTGATGAGTGTGACAAGGGAAGCTGTCCCTCACTCCTGTCCCTGGGGCTCGGAACGTGCTGGACCTCAGTTACCGATGAGAACGACGACGGTTGTAGTTCTCACTCATTTTGTTCAGCTCCAAGGAATGTTGGTTTGGTTTTTTTGGGGGGAATCATCATCGATCCCAGCACGTTCTAAAAAATGGAGCTGCTGGAAGGTGGCTCATTGGGTGAGGCAATGACCTCGGAGTCCTCCTGGGCCTGCAGGACCAGGTCCCACCACTGAGCGCAGAACACTCAGTCCAGGTCAGAGGGAAACCCCGTGTGCCATCGGGACACCCAAACAAGCCGCCTCCAGCAGCTCCAAACCCACAAGCTAATGGCTGAGCGAGGAGCAGAGCATCGCTTACCTTCCTGGGGTATCCCGGCTCCGTGCCCACTCAGGCCCCTTCCTCGAGGATTCCCGGGGACACAGGCCATCCTGGCAGATAACTGGCTTGTCGTCTTGGCTGATGCAGGCTCTGGCGCTGGGCCTGCACCTGAGAAGTGGACACAAATCACAGGTGTGTTTGAGTGATGTGCCCAGGTCCTCAGGTAAAATCCCTGCCCTCCTCTTCCCTTTCGTGGGCCTTCATCTGATTGTCCCCTAGGCCTGTCCCTGAGGCATGAGTGAGGGCAGGTGTGACTTCCTGTGTGCAGGTGGGTAGCAAATTTCGATGCAGGTGGAGGTACAGGCCTCCCCATGTTAAAAATAAAGCCCAGTGGGCAGGCTCCTGTGTCTCAGTGGTTGAGCGAGGTCATGGCTCAATATTTAGTCAGGACACATGGCCAGGCCGTGGGTTCGATCCTCAGTGGGGGAAGTGCAGGAGGCAACCATTCAATGATTCTCTCTCATCGTTGATGTCTCTCTCTGTCCCTCTCCCATACTCTCTGAAAATAAAAACAAAATATATTTTAAAACGATGCAACTAACACCAAGAAAATGCTCTCTGATGCTGAAAACTGGAAGGTCCTGCATGAGTGTGACAAGGGAAGCTGTCACTCACTCCTGTGCCTAGGGTATGGAACGTGCTGGACCTCAGTTACCGATGAGAACGACGACGGGTGTAGTTCTCACTCATTTTGTTCAGCTTTTCCAAGGAATGTTGGTTTGGGTTTTTTTTGGAGGGAGTCATCATCGATCCCAGCACGTTCAGGACACAGGGCCTTAGGTCAGAACACAGTTCCAATTGGCTGATCTTGGGACAGATAGAGGCTTACCTTCCTGAGTGCCCTGAGGGCTTTCAGCAGACCCGGGGCTACACTTCTTCCAGGACCCGCCCATGTCCGACCCCCATGGAGAGAGTAAGGTGGTCCCTTCTAGGCAGACGAAAGGCCTTTCATGACGACGCCACCTGGAGAGTGAAGAGAAACCACATGCACATTAGAGAAACCCATTCAGGCGCTTAGGTCACATGATCAACACCACCCTTTCCCCAGGTACAGCCTGCACCTGTTCTTCATCTCTCTATCCCGTAGAGGTGAGGATGGGCATGTGTCATACCATGAGGTGTGCTGGTAGGCAGCTGCGCTGATGCCCTGGGAGGGCCTGCATGAGTGTGACAAGGGGAAACTGTCCCTCACTCCTGTTCCTGGGGCTCTGAACGTGCTGGACCTCAGTTACCGATGAGAACGACGACGGTATGAGTTCTCACTCATTTTGTTCAGCTCCAAGGAATGTTGGTTTGGTTTTTTGGGGGGAATCATCATTGATCCCAGCACGTTCTAAAAAATGGACCTGCTATATGGTGGCTCACTGGGTGTAGCAATGACCTCAGAGTCCTCCAGGGCCTGCACGACCAGGTCCCACCACGGAGCAAGGAACACTCAGTCCATGTCAGAGGGAAACTCCGTGTGCCATCGGGACACCCAAACAAGCCTCCTCCAGCAGCTCCAAACCCACAAGCTAATGGCTGAGCGAGGAGCAGAGCATCGCTTACCTTCCTGGGAATTCCCGGCTCCGCGCCCGCTCAGGCCCCTTCCTCAGTGGCTCCCTGGGACTTGGGCCATCCAGGCAGACAACGGGCTTCTCGTCTTGGCCAATGTAGACCCTGGCGTTGGGGCTGCACCTGAGAAGTGGACACAAATCACAGGGGCGTTTGAGTCATGTGCCCAGGTCGTCAGGATAAATCGCTGCCCTCTTCTTTCCTTTGGTGGGCCTTCATCTGATTGTCCCCTACGCCTGTCCCTGAGGCACGAGTGAGGGCAGGTGTGATTTTCTGTGTGCAGGTGGGTTACAAATATGGATTCACGTGGGCAGGGGGGAGCGAGGCCCCTGGATGGGAAAAAGGAAGCCTTGCGGGCAGGCTGGTGTAGTTCAGTGGTTGATCGAGGTCATGGTTCGAGCGAGCACATGGGCATACTGTGGGCTCGATCCCCAGTAGGGGGTTTGCAGGAGGCAACCAATCCATGATTGTCTCTCATCATTAATGTTTCTTTCTCTCTTTCTGTCTTCCTCTCTGAAATTAATAAAAAATATTTTTTAAGAAAGGGCAACCAACACCAAAAAAATCATCTCTGATGCTGAAACAATGGGAGGGCCTGCATGAGTGTGACAAGGGAAGCTGTCCCTCACTCCTGTCCCTAGGGTATGGAACATGCTGGACCTCAGTTACCGATGAGAACGACGACGGGTGTAGTTCTCACTCATTTTGTTCAGCTTTTCCAAGGAATGTTGGTTTGGGTTTTTTTTGGAGGAAGTCATCATCGATCCCAGCACGTTCTGGACACAGGGTCTTAGCTCAGAGAAAGGGTTCCAATTGGCTGACCTTGGGACAGAGAAAGGCTCACCTTCCTGAGTGCCCCGGGGGCATGAGGCAGAACCGGGCAAAACTTCTTCCAGGACCCGCCCATGTTCAACCCCCAGGTGGAGAGCAAGGTGGTTTCTTCCGGGCGGACGACAGTCCTTTTGTGACGACGCGACCTAGGGAGTGAGGAGAAACCACATGCACATTTGAGAAACTCATTCAGCTTCTCAGGTGACATGATCCACACCAACCTTTCCCCAGGTACAGCCTGCACCTGTCCTTCATCCCTCTATCCCTTAGTGGTGATGATGGGAGTGTGTCACACCATCAGGTGGTTAGGTAGGCAGCTGCGCTGATGCCCTGGGAGGGCCTGCATGAGTGTGACAAGGGGAAGCTGTCCCTCACTCCTGTCCCTGGGGCTCTGAACGTGCTGGACCTCAGTTACTGATGAGAACAACGACGGTATGAGTTCTCATTTTGTTCCGCTTTTCAAGGAATGCATCTTTGGCGTCATCATCGATCTGACTATATTCTAAAATCTTAGTCAGGGTGGTGTTTTGGCTCATTGGGTGAGGCAGGGACCTCAGAGTCCTCCAGGGGCCTGCGGGATGCAGATCCCAACACTGAGCTAGAGGAATACTCAATCCACTGTTGGAGGGAAACCCCGTGTGCCATTCCAACTCCCCAAATCAGAAAACTGATTTCTCCACTTGGAGCACGAAAATGCTTACCTTCCTCAGCGATCCTCGGCTTCCAGGACTCCCCCATCACATCCATCAACAAAGGAAAGGAAGGTCATGTCTTCATTGCTGATGGTGAGTCTACATGGCCACTCCTCCTGGGAAGTGTACAAAAACCGCATGCACAGTTGAGAAATGGACCCAGGTAACCACATCTAGGCCTACATTCTCTCCAGGTAAGACCTGTCTGTCAGGTACCTCTATCCCTGACCAATGACTGCAGGCATGTGTGTGCCATGAGGTTAGCCAGGTAGGCAGGGGTGCCAACACTCTAGGTGGTGCCTGCATGAGTGTGACAAGGGAAAGCTGTCCCTCACTCCTACTGTCTTGGGACGCTGAACGTGATGGACCTCAGTTTCTGAGGAGAATGACGACATTGTGAGTTCTCACTCATTTTGTTCAGCTTTTCCAAGGAATGTTGGTTTGGCTGTTTTTGTTTTTGTTTTTGAGGGAGTCATCATCGATCCCAGCACATTCTGGGATGCAGGACATGTTAGCAAGGCTGGTTGGATGGCTCACCTGGTGAGCCATTGACCTTGGGGTTTCTAGTGGCCTGGACATACACAACCAAGGCACGGGGTAATAGTGACACTCAGTCCACTTTTCAGGGAACGTACTGGGAAAACATGGACAGGTCACGTCCAGGAGGTCTAATAAATCTAAAGTAATGGATTACCTTCCTGAAGGATCCACAGGCAGGGTGCACACCCAGGGACACTCGGCTCCAGGACTCCCACACACCTGCCATCATCAAAGGAAAGGATGGTCTTCTCTTCATGGATGATGGTGAGTCTACACGGCCACTCCACCTGGGAAGTGTAGATAAATCATATGCAAAGTTGAGAAATGGACCCAGGTGACAATATCCAGGCCAACATTCTCCCCAGGAAAGACCTGTCTATCAAGGATATCTATCCCTGACCGGTGACTGCGGGCGCATGTGATACCATGAAGTTGGGCAGGTAGTCAGCTGTGCTGACATTCTAGCTGGTGCCTGCATGACTGTGACAAAGGGAAGCTGTCCCTCACTCCTCCCCGGGGCGCTGAACGTGCTGGACCTGTTTCCGATGAGAACGACGACGGTATGAGTTCTCACTCAGTTTGTTCAGCTTTACAAGGAATGCAATTTTTGGGGTCATCATTGATCTGAGCACATGCTAAAATGTGAGCAAGGCCGGTGTTATGGCTCATTGGGTGAGGCACTGACGTCAGAATCTTCTAGGGGCCTGTGGGATGCAGATACCAACACTGAACAGGAGGAATACTCAGTCCACTGTTGGAGGGAAACCCCGTGTGCCATTCCAACACCCAAACCTGTGACTCTAGCAACTCCCCAAATCAGAAAATTAATTTCTCCACTTGGAGCAGGAAAATGCTTACCTTCCTCAGGGATCCACTAGCAGGGTGCACACCCCGGGACACTCGGCTTCCAGGATTTCCACACGCCACCCATCAACAAAGGAAAGGAAGGTCGTGTCTTCATTGCTGATGGTGAGTCTACACGGCCACTCCACCTGGGAAGTGTACAAAAACCACATGCACAGTTGAGAAATAGACCCAGGTAACCATATCCAGGCCTACATTCTCCCCAGGTAAGACCTGTCTGTCAGGTACCTCTATCCCTGACCAGTGACTATAGGTGTATGAGGTACCATGAGGTGGGCAGATAGGCAGCTGTGTCAACAATCTAGGTGGTGCCTGCATGAGTGTGACAAGGGGAAGCTGTCCCTCACTCCTACTGTCTTGGGACACTGAACGTGCTGGACCTCAGTTACCGATGAGAACGACAACGGGTGTCGTTCTCACTCATTTTGTTCAGGTTTTCCAAGGAATGTTGGTTTGGCTGTGTTTTTTTTGAGGGAGTCATCATCGATCCCAGCATGTTCTTGGATGCAGGACATGTTAGGAAGGCATGCTGGATGCTCACCTAGTGAGCCATTGACCTCAGTGTTGTCTAGTGGCCTGGACATACACAACCAAGGCACGGGGAAAGAGGGAAACTCAGTCCACTCTTCAGGGAATGTACTGGGAAACATGGACAGGTCACGTCCAGGAAATCTAATAAATCTAAAGTGATGGCTTACCTTCCTGAGGGATCCACAGGCAGGGTGCACACCCAAGGACACTTGGCTCCAGGACTTGCACTTGACTCAGCTCATCAAAGGAAAGCATGGTCTTTACTTCATGGATGATGGCAAGACGCACACGGCCACTCCACCTGGGAAGTGTAGAGAAATCACATGCACAGTTGAGAAATGGAACCAGGTGACAATACCCAGGCCAACATTCTCCCCAGGTAAGACCTGTCTATCAAGTATATCTATCCCTGACTTGTGACCACAGGCGCATGTGATACCATGAGGTGGGCAGGTAGGCTGCTGTGCTCACATACTTAGTGGTGCCTGCATGAGTGTGACAAGGGAAGCTGTCCCTCACTCCTCCTGTCCCCGAGGCGCTGAACGTGCTGGACCTCAGTTTCCGATGAGAACGACGACGGTTGTAGTTCTCACTCATTTTGTTCAGCCCAAGGAATGTTGGTTTGGATTTTTTTGGGGAATCATCATCGATCCCAGCACGTTTTGTGAAGCCAGATGTCTAGGTGAGGCAGTTGAAGCAGCTCACCTCGTGAGCCAATGACCTCAGGGTCCGAAAGCAAGAGGGACAGTCCATCCACTCTTGAAGCTCAACCCCACAGGCCACTGTGGACACGTGGACAGGCTGCCTCTAGCACATCGACAAACTCCCCAAGCAAATGACAGACTGTGGGAAAGAGGAACGCTTACCTTCCTGCGGGATCCACAGGCAGGGTGCACACCCAGGACACACGGCTCCCAGGACTCCCGCACGCCGCCCATCATCAAAGGAAAGGAAGGTGGTCTCTTCATGTCTAATGGGGAGCCGTGGGCGGCCACTGCACCTGGGAAGTGCACAGAAATCCCATGCACATTTGAGAAATGGACCCAGGTAACAATATCCAGGCCAACCTCTCCCCAGGTAAGCTGTGCACCTGTCCATCAAGTCCCTCTATCCCTTAGGAGTGACTGGGTGCAAGTGTGACACCATGAGGTGGGCAGGTATGCCGCTGATACCTTGGGAGGTGGCTGCATGAGTGTGACAAGGGGAAGCTGTCCCTCACTCCTGTCCCTGGGGCTCTGAACGTGCTGGACCTCAGTTACCGATGAGAACGACGACGGGTGTAGTTCTCACTCATTTTGTTCAGCTTTTCCAAGGAATGTTGGTTTGGCTGTTTTTTTTGGAGGGAGTCATCATCGATCCCAGCACGTTCTGGGGTGCAGGTCATAGTAGTGAGGCAGGCTGGATGGCTCACCTAGTGAGCCATTGGCATCAGCGCCATCTAGTGGCCTGGACATACACAACCAAGCCAGGGAAGAAGGGGGACACTCAGTCCATTCTTGGAGGGAAACTACCGGGGATTCATGGACGGGCCTAGCAGGTCTAGTACCTCCACAGTGCTGCTGGGACTGGTGGAGAGGAACACTCACCTTTCTGAGGGATCCACAGGCAGGGTGCACACCCAGGGAGGGACACTCGGCTTCCAGGACTTGCACTCGACTTGGCTCATCAAAGGAAAGCATGGTCTTCACTTCATGGATGACGGCGAGTCCCGCACAGCCACTCCACCTGGGAAGTGTAGAGAAATCACACGTACAGTTGAGAAATGGAACCAGGTGACAATATCCAGGCCAACATTCTCCCCAGGTAACACCTGTCTATCAGGTAGCTCTATCCCTGACCAATGACTGCAGGTGTGTGTTCCATGAGGTTAGCCAGGTAGGTAGCTGTGCCAACACTCTAGGTGGTGCCTGCATGAATGTAACAAGGGGAAGCTGTCCCTCACTCCTCCTGTCCCTGAGGCGCTGAACGTGCTGGACCTCAGTTTCCGATGAGAACGACGACGGTTGTAGTTCTCACTCATTTTGTTCAGCCCAAGGAATGTTGGTTTGGATTTTTTTTGGGGGAATCATCATCGATCCCAGCACATTCTGTGAAGCCAGATGTCTAGGTGAGGCAGTTGAAGCAGCTCACCTCGTGAGCCAATGACCTCAGGGTCCGAAAGCAAGAGGGACAGTCCATCCACTCTTGAAGCTCAACCCCACAGGCCACTGCGGACATGTGGACAGGCTGCTTCTAGCACATCGACAAACTCCCCAAGCAAATGACAGACTGTGGGAAAGGGGAACGCTTACCTTCCTGCGGGATCCACAGGCAGGGTGCACACCCAGGACACACGGCTCCCAGGACTCCCGCACGCCGCCCATCATCAAAGGAAAGCATGGTCTTCTCTTCATGCCTGATACAGAGTCTACACGGCCACTACACCTGGGAAGTGTAGAGAAATCACATGCACAGTTGAGAAATGGACCCAGGTGACAATATCCATGTCCACATTCTCCCCAGGTAAGACCTATCAAGTATCTCTGTTCCTGACCTGTGACTCCAGGCGCATGTGATATACCATGAGGTTGGGCAGGTAGGCAGCTGTGCCGACACTCTAGGACCTAGAGTGTGACAAGGGGAAGCTGTCCCTCACTCCTCCTGTCCCTGGGGCATTGAATATGCTGGACCTCCGTTTGTGATGAGAACGAAGACAGTATGAGTTCTCACTCACTTCGTTCAGCTTTCCAAGGAATGCATTTTTGGGGTCATCATAGATCTGAGCACGTGCTAAAATGTGAGCAAGGCCGGTGTTACGGCTCATTGGGTGAGGCAGTGACCTCAGAGTCCTCCAGGGGCCTGTGGGATGCAGATCCCAACATTGAGCAGGAGGAATACTCAGTGACTTGTTGGAGGGAAACCCCTTGTGCCATTCCAACACCCAAACCTGTGACTCTAGCAACTCCCCAAATCAGAAAATTAATTTCTCCACTTGGAGCAGGAAAATGCTTACCTTCCTCAGGGATCCACAGGCAGCGTGCACAACTAGGGATACTCAGCTTCTAGGACTCCTGCAAGCCACCCATCAACAACGGAAAGGAAGGTCGTGTCTTCATTACTGATGGCGAGTCTACAAGGGCCACTCCACCTGGGAAGTGTACAAAAACCACATGCACAGCTGAGAAATGGACCCAGTTAACCATATCCAGGCCTACATTCTCCCAGGTAAGACCTGTCTATCAAGTCCCTCTATCCCTGACCAGTGTATGAGGCACCATGAGGTGGGCAGGTAGGCAGCTGTGCTCACATACTAGGTGGTGCCTGCATGAGAGTGACAAGGGGAAGCTGTCCCTCACTCCTCCTGTCCCTGGGGCTCTGAACGTGCTGGACCTCAGTTTCCGATGAGAACGACGACGGTTGTAGTTCTCACTCATTTTGTTCAGCCCAAGGAATGTTGGTTTGGTTTTTTTGGGGGGAATCATCATCGATCCCAGCACATTCTGTGAAGCCAGATGTCTAGGTGAGGCAGTTGAGGCAGCTCACATTGTGAGCCAATGACCTCAGGGTCCGAAAGCAAGAGGGACAGTCCATCCACTCTTGAAGCTCAACCCCACAGGCCACTGTGGACACGTGGACAGGCTGCCTCTAGCACATCGACAAACTCCCCAAGCAAATGAGAGATTGTGGGAAAGAGGAACTCTTACCTTCCTGCGGGATCCACAGGCAGGGTGCACACCCAGGACACACGGCTCCCAGGACTCCCGCACGCCGCCCATCATCAAAGGAAAGGAAGGTGGTCTCTTCATGTCTAATGGGGAGCCTTGCACAGCCACTGCACCTGGGAAGTGCACAGAAATCCCATGCACATTTGAGAAATGGACCCAGGTAACAATATCCAGGCCAACCTCTCCCCAGGTAAGTTGTGCACCTGTCTATCAAGTCCCTCTATCCCTTAGGAGTGACTGGGTGCAAGTGTGACACCATGAGGTGGGCAGGTATGCCGCTGATACCTTGGGAGGTGGCTGCATGAGTGTGACAAGGGGAAGCTGTCCCTCACTCCTGTCCCTGGGGCTCTGAACGTGCTGGACCTCAGTTACCGATGAGAACGACGACGGGTGTAGTTCTCACTCATTTTGTTCAGCTTTTCCAAGGAATGTTGGTTTGGCTGTTTTTTTTTTGAGGGAGTCATCATCGATCCCAGCACGTTCTGGGGTGCAGGACATAGTAGTGAGGCAGGCTGGATGGCTCACCTAGTGAGCCATTGGCATCAGCGCCATCTAGTGGCCTGGACATACACAACCAAGCCAGGGAAGAAGGGGGACACTCAGTCCATTCTTGGAGGGAAACTACCGGGGATTCATGGACGGGCCTAGCAGGTCTAGTGCCTCTACAGTGCTGCTGGGACTGGTAGAGAGGAATGCTTACCTTCCTGAGGGATCCACAGGCAGGGTGCACACCCAGGGAGGGACACTCGGCTTCCAGGACTTGCACTCGACTTGGCTCATCAAAGGAAAGCATGTCTTCACTTCATGGATGATGGCGAGTCCCGCACAGCCACTCCACCTGGGAAGTGTAGAGAAATCACATGCACAGTTGAGAAATGGAGCCAGGTGACAATATCCAGGCCAACATTCTCCCCAGGTAAGACCTGTCAAGTTCCTCTATCCCTGACCAGTGACTGCAGGTGTATGAGGCACCATGAGGTGGGCAGGTAGGCACATTCTAGGTGGTGCCTGCATGAGAGTGACAAGGGGAAGCTGTCCCTCACTCCTGTCCCTGGGGCTCTGAACGTGCTGGACCTCAGTTTCCGATGAGAACGACGACGGTTGTAGTTCTCACTCATTTTGTTCAGCCCAAGGAATGTTGGTTTGGTTTTTTTGGGGGGAATCATCATCGATCCCAGCACATTCTGTGAAGCCAGAAGTCTAGGTGAGGCAGTTGAGGCAGCTCACATTGTGAGCCAATGACCTCAGGGTCCGAAAGCAAGAGGGACAGTCCATCCACTCTTGAAGCTCAACCCCACAGGCCACTGCGGACACGTGGACAGGCTGCCTCTAGCACATCGACAAACTCCCCAAGCAAATGACAGACTGTGGGAAAGAGGAACGCTTACCTTCCTGCGGGATCCACAGGCAGGGTGCACACCCAGGACACACGGCTCCCAGGACTCCCGCACGCCGCCCATCATCAAAGGAAAGGAAGGTGGTCTCTTCATGTCTAATGGGGAGCCGTGGGCGGCCACTGCACCTGGGAAGTGTAGAGAAATCCCAAGCACAGTTGAGAAAGGTACCCAGATTGTCAAGTAACAGTGGGTGAGAAAAACTGAGTTTGTCTATTCCTAAAATATTGAAAACCAAGCCTCAGGTCACAAAATATCCTGCCAAGAAATAGACTTAATTCTTACTGATGTAAGTTGTAACGTTAGTAACATGAGCAACAAATAATGATTAAGGAGCAAATCTATGAAATCTCCTGATCTCTCTACTTGATGAACACACGTGACTGATCTTTGTGAGGCCACAATATGGAATATTGAAATTATTTTTTGTTTGTTTTAAGGAAAAATGAAAGGCTTTGTGGGTTTCATTTAAAATCTACTGGACATTAGAAAGATCTCATAAATTTAACATATAATTTTCCACATCCAAAGAACTAATTTCAATCCAATAAAATCAATTTAAAAATAAAATAATTGTCCTGGCTGGTTATGCTCAGTGGATAGAGCGTCAGCCTGGGAACTGAAGGGTCCCGGGTTTGATTCCAGTCACGGGCACATGCCAAGGTTGCGCAGGGCTCGATCCCCAGTAAGGGGGCGTGCAAGAGGCAGCCGATCCATGATTCTCTCTCATCATTGATGTTTCCATCTCTCTCTCCCTCTCCCTTCCTCTCTGAAATCAATAAAAATATATTTTTAAAAATAAATAAAAATAAAGTAATTTTTTTAACTAATTAAAGTCAAATCTCAGTGATGAGAAGAGTATCAATGATTCATCATGATGTATGAATCTGACCATATGCTCTTAAGTCATGGGTCAACATTCTGAAACCTAAGAATCTGTTAGGAAAACTCCCAAACATAGCTTATTCTCACAAAAGGATATTTCACTGCAATCCAGAATTGTGTAAAAAAAAAAAAAAAAGAAATCAACAATTTTCTAAAATTTTACACTTGTCAGTCTACTCAATACTCATACAAAATAAAAATTTAGCCCTAACTAGTTTGGCTCAGTGGATAGAGTGTTGGCCTGAGGATCAAAGGGTCCCAGATTAGATTCTCGTCCAGGGCACGTACCTTGGTTGCAGGCAGCCCAGGCCCTGGTTGGGGCACCTGCAGGAGGCAATCAATTGATGTGTTTCCCTCACCTCACATTGATGTTTCTGTCTTTTTAAAAATATATATATTTTTATTGATTTCAGAGAGAAAGGGAGAGGGAGAGAGAGATAGAAACATCAATGATGAGAGAGAGAATCATTGATCAGCTGCCTCCTGCACTCCCCCTACTGGGGATCGAGCCCCCAACCTGGGCATGTGCCCTTGGCCGGAGTCGAACCTGGGACTCTTCAGTCCGCAGGCCAAGGCTCTATCCACTGAGCCAAACAGGTTATGGTTCTTTGTGTCTTTCCCTCTCTCTTCCACTCTATCTAAAAAATCAATGGAAAAAATATCCTCGGGTGAGGATGAACAAAAAATAAAATAAACAACTAAAAATTCACATTCAGAAACGAGGGTGAAGACAATCACTACAGAAATGGCACATTATTAAGGTAAGACCCAGGGAACCACTGGAAAGATGCACACACCTGAAGACGTGGCCTGGAGCCCATGACCGGCATCTCACAGGATCCTGGTGTGCCCCTCACCTCCATTCATTCGCTGAAGTGGAGGACCTCACTCAGCCCGTCTGAATGCAAAAGAAACAGAAGAAAACAAACAAAAAATATAATCTCGGACAATACTCGGCAGTAAAGACAACAAAGCACTAACATGTAGTCTATCGCCAGTAAGTAGCACACGCGTGCCTGGGCTTTCTACTTTCCCCACAACACCCAGGAGGCGTTCCGCACCCTTCTCAGTTCCACGTTCCAGGTTTTTATTTAACAAAGGAAAGAGTCAAGAATGAAGATCCCGCCAGGCCGGTGTGGCTCAGTTGGTTGAGCCAAGAGGTCACCCATGAACCAAGAGGTTCTGGGCTCCTTCCCCAGTAGGGGGGGGCGTGCAGGAGACAGCCAATCGGTGTTTCTCTCTCCCTCTCTGTTCCTCTCTCTCTCTCTGCCATCAATAAAAACAAAAAGGTGTTCCCTCTTTGGATGGTTCCTGGCGGAAGCAACTACTGTGATTATTGTCAAATGTTCATTTTTAGTATCTTGCCATGATGCTGACTAGCATTCTGTTGTCAAGAACTTGACTTCTGACCCTGTTTATCCATTCGTTATTCATATGTTCATTTAGCAACATTGTCAATCTCTCACCAGTTGCCTCGTCCTTGAAGAGTTTCATCATCGCGTCCAAACGTGCCTAGATTGCTTCAAATTCAAAGCCAGAGCCGGCGCACGGCTTGGAACCCGTCACTCCGCCTGGACCGATGTCACCTGACCCATCACGACTGCTCTCTCCGGTTCTTCTCTTCCTCCTTCGGCTTTCTCTAGATAAGACACTGTGAGCTTCTCCTAGCGTCCATGTCCCTCAGAAGAACAGGAGATAAAAAGGAGTTAGTGGCAGCACCTTCCTGACGTATATAAACCCGTCAAGTGTCTAAATATCATGGGGTGAAACTTACCTCTGGATTCCCTGGTGATCATGGGGGCCAACACTTCACCTGCTGGGTCAGACTTCCCCATTCATTGTCCTTGCAAGACGCAACATGTTACGTTCAGAAAAGTGCTGGAATGAAGACAGAGCACTGGGGACGGGGGGCGGGGGGGTGTTGAATAATTATGGAAAACATACACCAAGGGGCTAGGGAATCCCAGACCGCGTGGTCATAAAGCACCATCGGAAAATTATTCCAACAGATGATGACATGGAAGGTGTGTCACTAGGGTGGGGGCACGCCCCCCGCTATCTGCAGTACTGGCGCTGGCATTGCGTCATCGTGTCTATTCCGAAGTTGGTTTTCTCCCCTTTAGTGATACTCCTCTTATTGGCCATTTCTCCTGGGCTTCGACCTGTGTCCCCATGGCACCCGGTGCTCGATGGCCTGTTCTCCTGAGGAGCCCAGGGGCCCTTTTCCTAAGCACGGGCGCCCCCTAGCTGTAGCGGTTGTTCTTTGTAACTTGACGCCACAAAATTGTGCACAAATCAATGCCCCGTTCCTGTCTCTCTCCTGTTCCCGGCACATCTCAATACTTAGACCTCTTAGCCCGAGGGACTGCACTTGAGAATTCTCAGGGGTCTGACCCTAAAGGCAAAGGGAGACCGAACATGACCTCGGAAATGTGCGTTTCTCCCCAAAGTGTGGTTTTGTGCCATCGAAATAGTAGTATTTTTCATTAACACCTTCCAGCGGTTGTGACGCTAGGTGGGTTGTAGTCAGTTGTGGATAACAGGGCGAAGTACACCGTCAAACCCAACCTCAAACTTAACCTCTATTTTTTTAAAAAAAGGGATAATGGTGATTATAAGTAATCAATGAGGTAATCCATGAAATAGTGTTTATCTCAGCATGTGGTACATCTAAGAACTCAATTAAGTGCTACCTATGTGATTGAAATACATATTTTTGAAACGGCACACATCACTCCCACAAATAGAACAGTAAAAAATGACCAGAACTCAAACTATCGCCATTTTTGAATGTTCTTCCTATAAAGTTAGTTTATTGACCATATCCGAAGACGCGCATACATATATCATTTCACATGAACAACACACAATGTTGAAGCCTGAAACACAGTAACTCAATCACTGGTGGGAAAATCAGCTTTTGAAAAAGAAAAACACACCTGGATTTTCATATCAATTACTTTGAACACACATTACTATTAAGTAACTGAATACAAGCCAATTGGATAAATGACTCGTCACTAAGTCTCCAAGCATAGCAACGGGATTAACAGGTTACTCACAAGTTCACAAGTATAACGAAGGCTGTGGGGCGTACCCTTGAGTTTACACACATTTTTGAACAATACCTATTACATCCTATAGGTAAAATTTCTAAGACTAAAATTGGGAGTCAAAATGTGCTAATTTCCATCCAATACCTATTTCCCAGGGTAACATACCAGGAGTCCAAATTTCTCCACACTTGGTGCCTCTTAATCTAATAGGTGAAAAATGACAACCCATGGTAGATTTGTTTCCTTGTGTGTGTGCCTATCTGTGTGCACACACGCGCATTTGCTTCGTCACTATTTGTAATTATTATTCGATAGCTGTAATTACTTCATCATCAAGATGGGTGTGGTTGGGCATCGTTTTATATGCTCTTGGCCATTCACAATACTTTTTCTTTTAGGAGCTGAGCACTTATGGGCTTGGCAGCACTGATACTGGCTGGGATGCTTGCCTTTTTTAGAATTAATTTGCGGGTAGTTTTTCATAGAAGATTAGCTCTAACTTGGTCGTCTACGTTTCAAGGAACCATACATCTATAGTTTAGTTGACTGTCAGATAAGAAGTAGTCCCATTTCATTTTAAGCTAAGCAGGTTGTTGGTTCTCTTTCTCTCCCCGGAACCCTCCAATGCAGGTAACAAACAAACGAGCCAACTTGGAAAAAAACAGCTTCATTGGGCTCAACATGGCATCCGTCGGCTGCATTCCAAGAGAAGGCTATTTCTCGATTTCTCCTAAGATCACAGGACTAGGAATATGTCTCGGTCGGGGTAACAAAAATGGCAACAACTCCCCTTTTTCCTGAGGGACAGTTTCTCTTAGGTGGTGACTGTGAATCGCCCCTTGGGAACCTTGAGGCGCACCCACAAATACTGGGGGCCATGGAGAAAAAAAGGCTTGGACCATCACAAGGGTGGAGAGATAACCAGGAACTTGGGACAGGGCCGATGGCCAAGGTTCATCTCCTACATCGGACCATTCTGTCAAGACTTGGGAGGGGACTTCGTTACCTAACCCGTAGAAACAACAGGAGAGACTCGAGGAACATTAAGCAACAGATGACCATATGTTCCAAACAAAAGGACAACCTCCAGACACAGATCTGAATAAGATGGCGGGAAGGGACTTCCCCGGTTCAGAGTGTAAAATCAGATGCCTAACCTGGTGAGAGTTGAAAGGGAGATGCGTAAAGAGGCTCACTGAGGTCAGAAGAGCAATGCAAGAGACATGACGAGAGGGGCCCACCGGGGCGGAAGTTTTTAAGTATCAAACAGAAATCTCAGAACTAAAGAGCCCTACGACTACGCGGAGACGTTCGAGAGAGGGGTTCAACAGCAGAGTAGATGACGTGGAAGAAAGGACGGGCGCAAGACGGGGGCCGGGGAATTCATCCAATCGGAGAGGCCGAAAGAGAAAAAAAATGGCATGAAAAGTGAATACAGCTTAAGGGATTTTAGGGGACACCAATGGACTCATGCACACATCACAGTAGTCCAGGAGGAGAGATACAGGAAGGGGCCGCAGGGCTATTTACATTAGTATTGGCTACAGAACACAACCCTTATAAGAAAGATTCCCGTTTGGGAATCCCGAAGGCACTGAGAAAGAGGACCCCGAGGAGGCCCGACACCAAGATGTATTCTAGTCAGTGAGTCACAAGCGAAAGCGTAGCAGAGAGTCTTAAAAGCAGCAGGAGGAATCAACTTGTTCAGACCAGCAGCACGATCCTCAGCGAAAGTGCTGCAGAACAGGAAGGCAGCGGGATGACGCAGACAGCGTGCTGAAAGAAAACACTGCCAACCAAGATCACTCTAGCCCACAAGGTCAATTTTCATCCCTAAAACAGGGGGAACCACCAACGGGTCAAAGAAGAAACCAAGACATAAAAACCATCTCGAGGCGAGCAAAAACATCACGTACCAAAACGTACGGTACGCGGCAAACCTAGCTCTAAGCAAGAAGTTTATTGTAATAAACACCTACATTAAGAAAAATATCTCAAACAAACTAAGTTCACATCAAGAAACTACAAAAAATAAAAACAAAGGAATCCCAAAGTTAGCAGAAGAAAGAAAGTAACAAAGAGGGTGGAGGCGGCCGGGGAGAAGTCCATGGGGGGGGAAAAAGGAGATTTATGTAATACTTTAAACAATAAAGAATTTAAATAATAAAAAAAGAAAGTAACAAAGATGAGAGCAGGAAAAAAAATAAGAGAGACTAAAAAGATAATAAAGCCCTAGCCAGTTTGGCTCAGTGGATAGAGTGTCGGCCTGAGGACCAAAGGGTCCTGGGTTCGATTCCGGTCAAGGGCACGTACCTCGGTTTCAGGCTCCTCCCCGGCCCGGGCCCTGGTCGAGGCTCGTGCAGGAGGCAACCAATCAATCGATATGTTTCTCTCATTTCGATATTTCTCTGTGTCTTTCCCCCTCTCTTCCACTCTCTCTAAAAATCAATGGAAACATATCCTTGGGTGAGGATTAAAAAAAAAAAAAGATAATAAAAAAGATCAATGAAATGAAGAGCTGTTTTTCTTTTTAAAGATAACCAAAACAGAAAAAGGTTTACATATACCTACCAAGAAAGTAAGAGAGAAGACGCAAATAAAATTATAAATGAAAAGAGGAGACACGACAACCGATAGCACAGAGGATCACAAGAGACCGCGGTCATGTGCCACTTAACGAGCAGGGTATGTACTGAGACATGTGTCCTTAGGTGATGGCGTTATTGCGCGGACATCATGACATGGTCTACTACTATGGATGTCTATGCGCTATGTACTGTATGGACTGGCAGCCCAGCAGGCTTCTTTACGTCAGCATCACCACAAACATGTAGTGTGAGCCCCAAAAGGTGGCATTTTTTTTTTTTGGGGGGGGGGAATGCCAGTGCCTGACATATCTTCTTTTTTTTTTTAAATTTTCAGTTACAGGTGACATACAATATTGTGAGTTTCAGGTGTACACCCCAGAGAGTAGAGACGCTACCTAACTTACTAAGTGATCATCTGGATAAAACTCCTAACCATCGGACACTGGACCGAGTTATCAGAATATTACTGACAGGATTCCCTATGCTATGCTTTCCATCCCCATGATTATGCTGTTAACTCTCGATTTGCACTGCGTAATCCCTTCACCTTTTTATCTCCCCAATGCCCCTCCCATCGGTCAAAATGGTCTTTGTATCTAGGAACCTGTTTCTTTTCTGCGTGTTAACTTAGTTTTGAAGACATTGCTGGCCACACACTAGATAAAGACCCACACCACCTCCCCCAACGGAGGTTCCTTTGTTTAAGGTCTTCCTTGATTCTGATAACTGACCGTGTGGGCTCCTTGCGTTTTTCTCTTCCCATGTGTTAAATTCTCACTCTTACCTTGTGGATACACCATGAAAGAGTGAGCGAGCCTGCAAAACCTTACGCCCCCAGGAAAAACAGAAGCCCAGACTCATGATGTTTCTCTCTCTCTACCCTAGAACTTACTGTGTGTGCACCCTCTCACGGGACTTCTATGCTCTGGGGCCTGTTAAGCCATAAACTCGTTTTTCCTTCACGGGTTCTGACTCGTTACTGCAGTAAAGCATCTTGCACAAGAACCACAAATGTCCGTCCATTGGTTTACAAGGGGAAGATATCTGTGGGAAGCTCAATGGGTCCCTGGTGAAGTGCCCCCAGGGCATTTCTAGCTGATAGTA